CCTCACAAAGTCACTCAGAGACTCAGGCTGAAAGAGGTTTCACCATCTTGTAAACTCCATCATTTGAAAAAAATATGTGGTCTTCTCAATCCCATGGATCACAGAAGAGAGAGGTGGGATCACGATACATGTTTTTTTCACTGCTTTGTATGCCATTTCTGCTCACGCTTTTATTGGCTAGCACTGGTCACATGACCCTGCCTAGCTGCAAAGGGTTTGGGAAATGTAGGGGAGTCAATGGAATTTGTGTAAGCATTCATTTCTTTGCCACATTCCCTAAGGTGGCTGTTGTTCCTGGTTCAGGAAGCAATCTCAGAAAGATTAAGAGCTCTCACCCAAAATCATAGAACACACACTGGAGAGAAACCATACGAATGCTGTGAATGTGGGAAATCATTCTCATTTAAATCAGTCCTTACTGTACATCAGAAAACACATACAAGGAAGAAGCCCTATGAATGCTGTGAATGTGGGAAAACCTTTCTCAGAAAATCAGACCTCATTAAACATCAGAGAGCTCACACAAGGGAAAAGCCTTATGAATATAACAAATGTGGGAAATCCTTCTCTGAAAAGTCAACTCTCACTAAATATTTGAGACCTCATACAGCTGATAAGCCCTATAAATGTATAATGTGGAAAATGTTTCTGCTACATCTCAGGTTTCACCGAACATCATAGGAGACACACAGGAGAGAAACCTTTTGGATGTAATGAATGTGGGCAAAACTTTCATCAGAATTCAGCCCTAATGGTTCATGAGAGAACTCACGTAAGATAGAAATCCTATGAATGTAATGAATTTGGAAAATCATTCTGTGTGAAGTCAAAACTCATTGCACATCAGAGAACACATTTAAAGAGAAACTCTATAAACATAATAAATGAAGGAAATCACTCCATGTGAAGTCCAGTGTTTATAGAACCCAAAATGGACAGGAAAATCTATTTATATAATAATTTTGAGAACATCTTTGATCTAAAATCAGTTCTTACAATACAGAACAGAGAACTTATATAGGGGAGAAAATCACATCTGGACATAGGAACATTTTCTACTGAAATTTGGACCATACTGTATATGAGACAACTGAGTGGAGAAAACCTAGTGTTGAAGGAATACAGGGCACCTTTTGCCCAAAGCCACACCTTACTAAACATCAGAGAAATCACGTAGGGTAGAAACCTCTATAAGGATTTGCTGAGAAGACTACACACAGGCTAGAGGAAATGCACAAGCTATAGGAAATTATAGGAAAACATTTACTAAGAGGTGATATTTTATTGGACTTGTGTGAAATATTTTCAGTAGCATCTCAGTGGATATAAGATAGTAGTTACTAGAAAAATACTTTTAAGTGAGTGGAAGCTTTAAGTTAAACCTAAGTTTATCATACATCAGAGATGTTCAATTGCAGTGTCTAGCAATTTAGGAAATGTGGAGAATGTTTCCATTTTAGCACTTTGCTTTGTTATAATACAATCTGGACCATTGCCTGGTGTACTGTTCCATTCAACTTAAGGTATTAGATGTGACCTGGAGCTGGCGGTTGTAAACAATTCAAAGATTTATTGCTCAGGCATATGCGAAATAAGGAAAGGTTTTTGCAGGGGACCCACGAACAAGAAGACATTCTGATGTCCAGGTAGAGAGAGCGATCCTGGTCTTGGTGACATACATAGGACAGGAGCCTGCCAGCAGGATTTTAAAAATAATTCTGGGGCAGACTAATTTTGAGTGGCTTGTCTGGAAGTGGTGGATCGAAGGGGCAAGGTACATTGCCTTGAATGCAGCTTACTAGCTGTAGCGGAAGTGGGTGAGTATAGAACGTAGGTGGTTTCTGCCCTGCCAGTGTCTTACCAGTTTGGCCAGCTGTCATCCTGCTGTGAGTGACTTATTGCACCCAACATTATTTCTCCACATACTTAACACTTCTCACATGAGATACAATGAATTTTTAAAAGCAAAACATTCACGTACAAACATATACATTGTCAAGTACGGAGCTTTAAAAAGCACGAATAGATTCTACTACTCAATAGGCTATAGTAGCTTTCACAGACCACTGCTCTCACTAAGGACAACTAGAAAAGCAGTTCACAAAAAGTATATTTAAATGCAACCTGTTGTTACAAAAACAGAGAGGGCTAGTATGCTAAAATTCAGGAGGGGCGTGAAAGACAGAAAGTAAATGGGAAAATGTAGCTGTTTTACCTGGGTGCACTTGCCAGTTCTGGCTACAGGGAGGAGCCTGAATATTGAGTTTGGCTCAGGCAGAGGGTTATGAATTGGTGGCAGGGCAGGGGAGATGTAGGGTGCAGGGAGACTAGAAACCAGAGCCCAGAAGAACTCTGGCAGTCAAGGCTGGAGTGAAAATTTTTGAAACATGGGAGACTTCAAACCCATGGCCAGTTTCTCAGGATTTTCAGAAGACTGACACAGGGCAGGAATCTGAATACCTAAGCTGAAAAACACAATTATTTTTCCTTCCATTACTGAGGGAAAAATGAATAGAATTCAGGAACTGCCAGCAGGATGGGCCCTTGGTGAGCACAGCATGCTCTCAGTGACAGCGCAGGGTCATACCAGGGGTAGACTATACCTTATCAAAGTTGCAAACAATTCCTGATTCATATTTAAAATATCTCCCAGAAATAAAACTCATAGGAACAGATAATTTCACTCCAGTTATTCCAAATATTTAAAGAAACAGTACCAAGTTTTTATAAGCTCTTCCAGAGAAAGAATGAGGGAGGTTTTCCTGTTCCTTTTATGAGGCTAATACAACATTGATACCAAAACCTATAAGATATTTCAGGAAAGTAAATGCACATTCCACTATCTTATGAATTTAGATGCAAAATCCTGAAATGAAAAAAAAATTCCAGCCTTATCAGTGGATAACATATCTTGAATAAATGATATTTATTAGAGGAATCAAAGGATGAATTTAATATTTAAAATCACTTGATTTGGCCTTCTATTCCCCTTCCTCTCAGATTCTGCCTTCTCCCTTGCAATTTGTACATTTCTCTCCTGCTTGCCTGTGCTAGAATGGGAGTCATAATAGCCCTGACATGGGGGATGAGAAAGGTGTTGAGGTGATGTGTCCCCTTGTATCAAAAGTGCTGAGGGCAGGTGGAAGACATGATCAGCAGGGCTGAGATCCTGGTAACACTGGGCAGATAAATAAATGTACTGAAGGTGGTGAGAGCCAGCTTTCTCACTGTTGGAGACAGTATCTGTAAACACAGAAGGGCAAAGCTAGAAAACCACCTAAGGTGTTGGATTGAAATGTAATTCAGATTTTAAGTACATGAATCGAGTAGTGCTTGTGGGTGTATTTTGGATCTGGGTGCTGAGAGGGCCTAAACACAGTGACACCCCAGTAGTGTTGAGCACACCAGGTGCCAGGGGGTTAATTTTAAATACTATCCTCCCACCAATAAAAGACCAGGTCCCTGAAGTGATGGCTTATTGAAAGTCAGAGATGGGAAGAAATACAAGATGATCCTGAATCATCTTAGCTATTAGATAATAAAATGTCAAAGAATTATGGAGACATGTTAAAAGGACAAAAGAACCATCTTGTGCAGCTTCCAATGGCCAAGTCTGAGACGA